ACACCACTCTCTAGGCAACATCAATAACACCTTCTAGCTCTAATCATGCAAATGCAATCAACACCTTACCTCTATGAAGTCTCTGACTCCATGCTGGTTATGATGAACAGATTCTGTTGATTGGAGCAACATTCACCATATTTATTCTCAGGAAGTTTTTGTACAAGTCATTCTGAATTGAAAATGCTTGTTGGATGACCAGTGAAATGCCCAGACAGGAAACGCCCAGACAGGAACTAAACAGAAATGTATCCAGTGAAAACACAAACGGCAATAAAAACTTGACAGGTTTTTAACCCTTCTCCACTCTGTCCAAAACAAAAAAATTTTTTTAAGGAGTAATCAGTTATTTTATTAAATATGGATCCCGTTAAAGTACATGGAGGGGTTGATTTATTTTCGGTGCAATAGACAGCTTTGACTCACAGTTTGTACTGTATGCTTTGAGTGTTCAGCACTCAGACAGGTAAACCAGTAAGCTCCCTGGCTTTAGCTCTGCTGCTGGCTTCATTCTCACCATTGCTGGGGGCAATGGTGAGAGCCCAGCGAAGAAGTGCACTGCCCGAGGGCCATGGGGGCGGGCCCAGCGAAGAAGTGCACTGCCCGAGGGCCACTTCCAGGGGGGGCCCGTCACCCGATGGCATAGCATGGGGGGACCATAGCTCCAACTATGTAGGACTACAAGTCCCAGCAATACATTATATTTTTAAGTAGGGATACACCAGTGCCAATACTGGGCATTTTTACGAATATACTCACACTCGTGAAAATGCCCCGATACTAAACGCAGATACCGGTGTTCTGTTTAGAATGGCGACGAAGTCGAATTTGCCAACCTCAGCATTTGCGCGATTTAAACAAAGTATTTTGTTTAAATCGTTAATTGTGACTGTTAATAATATTCCAACCGTCATTCACTGCTATGGACGGTATATTATTGATGGTCACAATTAACCATTATAAACGAATACTTTGTAAATAAATGCCGGTTTCCTCGTTAATCCCGTCTGTACGTATGTGCAGATACTGGGTCAGCCTTCTCGACAGAACACCGGCACTAAAATTTTAAACAAGCGGCTGCCTGAGGTCGCGTGCTTGCTGGGGACCTCGGCAGCCTTCCTGTTAATCATGTGGTGCCATTGCGGTTGGGGGGAGGGGCCCTTTATAGTTTCTTGCACCAGGGCCGTGAAGGTTCTAGTTACGCCACTGCATCATGTAAATGTAATGGTAAAAGGAGGACTACATTTACTAAAATGACTACATCAGAATACTGTACTATGATTCCTTTTGGTAGACGGACAGTCAAGTCCAAACTGCATTCTGGGAACATTTACTTAAAGCCTCATAAATAGCCACATAAATATAAAGGATATTTTTTTTAACCTTAGTTTTTGTAAGCTCCTTGGTGTATCTTGGAAAAAGAACACCTCTTACTCTGTTCAAAGCTAAAAAAAATAGGTTTGGCTTCAGTTCTACTTTAACCCTTAAATAGTTACATAGTTAGGTTGAAAAAAGACATGTCCATCGAGTTCAACCTATAGAGATATAGAAAAAAAAAAGCCTAAACAGAACGCTATGCCCTCAATTACCCACTGTTTAACCAGAGGAAGACAAAAACCTATAAAGCAGGGTACAATTTGCTCTAACAACTGCATCAGCAACTCACACTACTGTTGTGCTTCACAAAAATCTGACTATTTGAATGTTACAGCAGTTACTGGGGGATGGAGTGGCAGATTTCAGCAGCAGCACGTGTATATCCCTTGGAAACCAGTGCATTTTTTATATTTTATATATCAGCCTACTTATTCAGCAATAACTTTGTCATTACATAAGATAGCAATGTAACATAGCTTGGGGCAGAGTGTGGACAAAAAAGACTTTCTTTTGGCAATATTGTCTTGCAAAAATAATATATGCCATGCAAAATATAAAGAAAAATAGGTACAAAAAACAAAAAGTGTCTTAAGTGAAAATGAAAAAGTAACATATAAATGTGATTAAAGAAAAAAAAATATATACAGGATAAAATCTATAGCTGAGGAGAGAAGGAGATGTCAGTGTATCGGTTCCTGGTACTATTGTCCTTGTGTGGCTATAGGTATGCTTTCTTCTTATTTCCTTTCTTTTTAAAAGATTGCAGACAGAACAGGAAGTGAGAGAATATTTCCCCAAAAAATTACTTTGCTCTCAGTTGAGAGCCAGGTATACTGTATGTACACCCGGGGGTAAAGGACGGGGTCAAACAGTGTGTGGATAAGGAAGGGACAAACAGCGTGCTACAAACTCCAAACTTTAACTTCACTTAAAATGTGATACTTTTCTATGCTTATGTATGCCTCTTATGCACATGCTTGTATCGCATATGTGATCAGTTAATAAAAGAATTTTAAAAAAAATGTGATACTTTCAATATCTCAAAATACAGCAGACATCGATATCATCTGGTACACAAGTGACATGTACTCTTCATCTGACATAGCTTATTCTGTGCTATTCTTATTCTTACTGTGCTACTCTTATTATATATGGTAGCTATATCTGTCTAGCTACAATAGGCTCTTGAGACATGGTAAGTATCTCAGTCACTGTCTCTCTCGCTCTCTCTCTCTCTCTATTTCTCTCTCTCACAAACAGCTCCTTGTGGTGTGGTCAACTCACATACAAACTAGAGTGGATCCCCTCACAGAATTTCTGGTGCCAGACTTCAGGGTGAGGTTGGGTTGGCACCAAAACACTTTCTTCTGATTTCAGGGTAACACTTCTAGAAATGCCTCTAGACAGTCCATCAAGTAAAACACAATTTTGGAAAACAATTCCAAATCAGACTTGCGGCTGCTATGGGCAATGCCATTTGAGGCTCCACATTGGATGGCAAAATGATTTAAAGGAATTATAATTTAAAAAAAATAGCAGCACTCTAAACACAAAACCGAATGAGACTTAAATAACAACATTCATAAAATAAAACATTCCAAATAAATAATGTTCATACTTAAATACAACTCATGCTTCAATAAAAAGTTCAGGGTCCATATTTCACACATATAGGTGAGCATAGTTCATATAATACATGCACTTTGGAATCCAAGAAAGTTAACGATCAGTACTATCTCCAGTGCAAACCCCTACCCTTAAATAAAAATGTAGGAAACCCGTGTCTCCACCACCATTTAGAAGGGCACACTATGCTGCTTATATTCCTAGAACCCATGTTTGAAGGAGGGTCAAAAAAAGCAAATGTAGCAACATTAGCCTGGAATCAGTCAAGCTCTGCAGGTGTTTTTTTTTTTTAAATGTAGAAATGGTGTGATACTCTGTACGGTCTCCTTTCTCTTCCATAGATTATCTGCATTTAACATGCAGGCCTTATGAGGGAGGAAGCCTTTACCATTAAACAAGGAAACACATGGTGGCCTTTTTTATGTACCACTGGTTTATCTAACAAACATTTCCTCAGGGTGTTGTCTTTTTAAGATAGGCCAGTGTTTACCAATTATTATTATTAATATTATATCTTAATACTGTGATGAAAAATTGGTTGCAAAGGCTTACATATTTTGCATACCCTGGCAGAAATCATGCCAAAAAACTGTCTTTTATTTAAGGATAGTGATCATATAAAGCCATTTATTATCACATAGTTGTTTGGCCTCTTTTTTTAAATCATAACAAAAATCACCCAAAGGGCCCTGATCAAAAGTTAACATACCCTGGAATATTTGGCATTGTTACAGACACACAGGGTGACACGCCTGTGAAATGGCAATTAAAGGTTAATTTCCTACATCTGTGGCTTTTAAATTTCAATGTGTCTGTGTATAAATAGTCAATGAGTTTGTTAGCTCTCGCGTGGATGCACTGAGCAGGATAGATACTGAGCCATGGGGAGCAGAAAAGAACTGTCAAATGACCTGCATTATAAGTTAATGGATCTTTATAAAGATGGAAAAGGATATAAAAAGATATCCAAACCATGAAAATGCCAGTCAGTACTGTTCACTTATTAAAAAGTGGAAAATTCGGGGATCTCTTGATACCAAGCCAAGGTCAGGTAGACAAAGAAAGATTGCAGCCACAACTTCTAGAAGAATTGTTCGGGATACAAAGAAAATATACACCTAGGACATACAGTACATAGCACATACAATACTGTTATACACATACAACTGGTTTAATCGTTTTTTGTTTTTACTTTTTTATTGATGTTGCTATTGCAATGTAGAAAATGCATAAAACATGAGTCCCATACAGAGCAAACCAATGCACAGAATTATAAAAAAAAAAAATATTGTGAATAAAATGGCGTAAAATATGACGGTGCTACCATTATTAGCTCCATTTACAGTCGTGGACAAAAGTTTTGAGAATGACACAAAAAACAATTTTCACAAAATCTGCTGCTTCAGTTTGATTATGGCAATTTGCATACCCTCCAGAATGTTATGAAGAGTGATCAGATCAATTGCAAATAATTGCAAAGTCCCTCTTTTCCATGAAAATGAACTTAATCCCCAAAAAACATTTCCACTGCATTTCAGTCCTGCCACAAAAGGACCAGTTGACCATGTCAGTGATTCTCTTGTTAACACAGGTGTCAGTGTTGACGAAGACAAGGCTGGAAACTACTCTGTCATGCTGATTGAGTTAGAATAGACTGGAAGCTTTAAAAGGAGGGTGGTGCTTGAAATCATTGTTCTTCTGTTAACCATGGTTACCTGCAAGGAAACACGTGTAGTCATCATTGCACAAAAAGGGATTCACAGGCAAGGGTATTGCTGCTACTAAGATTGCACCTAAATCAACCATTTATCAGATCATCAAGAACTTCAAGGAGAGAGGTTCAATTGTTGTGAAGAAGGCTTCAGGGCACCCAAGAAAGTCCGGCAAGCACCAGGACCATCTCCTAAAGTTGATTCAGCTGCAGGATTGGGACACCACCAGTGCAGAGCTTGCTCAGGAGTGGCAGCAGGCAGGTGTGAGTGCATCTGCACTAACAGTGAGGCGAAGACGTTGGAGGATGGCCTGGTGTCAAGAAGGGCAGCAAAGAAGCCACTTCTCTCCAAGAAAAACATCAGGGACACACTGATATTCTGCAAAAGGTACAGGGTTTGGACTGCTGAGTAGTGATGAGCCGAACAGGTCAGAGTACAGTTCGAATTCGATCTTTAGAACATCCAAAAAGTTTGAACTCAAAGCAAGTTTCTGGGGGTAGAATTCCCCTTAAACTTAAAAGTGGCGGATCTGTACGATGTATAGAACCTGCTGCAGCAAAAATTAACATTTGAAAAGAAAAAAATTACATTTCAATTGCCGGTATTGGTTTTCCTTTAATCTTTTAAAGGAAGCCCGTATGAAGAGGCCACATTTTAGGACACTCGGAACAAGGTTAGAGATTTTTTGGATAAATTCTGGTGCCTCTTTTGCAGACGTTGGATGAAAGTAACAAGTGCCTTCAAATTGGGCCTTTAGTGTTGGTCGTACCTTCAAACCATGTCACAGTTCCTATTTGGAGGGTTTTGCCTCCTGCCCGAGCTGCTCGATTTCCTGTCAATCCGCCATGAACCTAGGTGTTAAAAGGCTTGTGCACCTGTGCTTTAGCGTTAGAGCAACATGTCTCCATGCTAGTAGCCGCACCCAGTGGCGTCACACCCGGGTGCCACCATTGGAGGTGTGACACCAAAATGACTGACAGTCATTTTGGAGTCACACCCTATGAAAAGTCGGCCACTCTGTCACGGCAGCATACCTCATCCCGCCGGGTGAGCGCCCCCTCCTTTCTCTGCTAGCGTCCATCACCAAGATGGCCACCGGCAGGCGTCAATAGGACGACCGTGCATGCGCAAAGACATCATCGCGCACGTGCGCGGCAACGTCACGGTGGGGTGTCACCCGGTCTCGCTCCGGGTGTCACCCAGCCTCGGGACGCCCCTGGCCGGACCTCTCTGTTTCCTGTGGCATTGCTGTTTGAGGATACCTTGTATTTTGTGTCTTTGCCTGCTCTTATTGTTTTCAGTGTTCTCCTCCTGCTGTGCTCTTGCATTCCCTCTGTTTTCTGTCTGTGTACCTCTTTGGTTTGCTGTGGCTATGAGTTCTCTCCACGGCATTGTTTTCTGCTCTGTTTTGTAGTTGTCTCCTGCTTCCTGTAATTATTTTGCTCTGCACTATTGTGCACCTCCCTCATTTCTCCTGTGCATTCCCCTCTGCTGTTTCTGTGTATCTCTCGACTCTGTGGGTACATTTGTTGGGTGTTCCCTTTTGTTACCTGCTCCCTTTGTCAAGCATGTTCCCTGTGTCTTCCCTTTAGTGCCTGTTTTCTGTACCTTGTATCCTGTATGCCCCCTGTGTCTTGTCCAGTGTGCTGTGGTCCATGAGTACCCGCTGGCACTGTGTCTGCATGAGTGTGTCAGAGAGCCGCTACCTGGAAGCTGGCTCGCAGCTGAACATCCACACCATCAGTGGCTCTGGTTATGACCAGGCGGCTCCTTAGATCCTTAGACTCTGTCACACCTACGTTTCTTGTGTGGTCACACTGTCCCTGCATCTTCAGAGACCTGTATCCCTGTACATTCCTAATTCAGTCACAATATACTGCTCCACAAGACACGGAGCTTACAATTCTTGCTCCAGTGCGCAAATCGCGGCACACCGTAACCCTTCAGAGTTATTATTGACGAGTGAAGGATTGGATCATGTTGTAAAAAATTCCAATTATATGCACCTGTCACACAGGTGCACCAAAAAATTGTGCCTTAAGTGTTGGCAAGTGACTTCAGACTGTAACCCTTCAGTTATTCTCGGCGAGTGCACGATCAGACCCTGCTGCAAAAAATTCAAATGATATGCACATGCGGGTGTGGAAAAATTGTGCCTTGGGTGTTGGTGGTGCACTACACAGAAAACATTACTTAAAGATTGAATATCCAGGTACCCAGGGTCCACAATTTTAGGCAGCATAGGCAGTCTTGCAGAGATCACCGACAAATTTATTCGGTGACATCTGCATCAGGAGATTAATAGCTGCTGCTTATCCAGGACTGATTCATTTTGATAAATGTCAGCCAGTCAACGGAGTCTGTGTACAGACGCACTCTTTTATCTGTCACAAAACCTCCAACAGCACTGAACGTCCTTTCGTAAAGCACACTGGATGCAGGGCAGCCCAGTAGCTCCTATTGGCTAAGTTCTGGCCAGTGATCTATTCTCACGACCCAGTAAGCCAGTGGATCGTCTAATGGAAAACTCTCCATGTCTGCTCTTGCCCTTGGGTAATCCTGCACCATATGATTCAGACGCTGCCGATGGGTGCCTAAAGTTAACATCCCTAGGCGCTGAGGACTGAAAACATTTCTAAAGGCATCAGTCAGGCGGACCTTTCTCCACTGCTCTTCCTTTGACCAACCGAAGTGTCAGAAGCACCTCTTTCATGACTTGGTAACCTACCAGTGTCTGGAAAGGTGTTACACAAGTTTCTCTTCAAAGCATCCTCAAGTTGTTTCATCCTGTGCTCCCTCTGTGAGGGCAGGATGAGCTCTGCTACTTTACACTGGTAACGTGGATCAAGAAGAGTTGCCAACCAGTAATGATCCCTCTCCTTGATACCACAAATCCTGGGGTCCTTTCTCAGGCTTTGCAGGATAAGGGAGCCCATGCACTGTAAGTTTGAGGAGGCATGCAATTCTGAGTCTTTAGGGTCACTGAGCATGACACTATCGTGCACTACCTCCTCCCAGCCACGTACTACTCCTTGGGTTTCTGGGGACAGAAAACCCTCCCTTGAAGACTGCCTTATGTCATCCCCTGCTTCAATGCCCCCACGGCTGCCATAATCCTCCTCTTCCTCTTGTGTGATCTGCAGACCCGCAGGATTGGTTTCTGCATAAAGGGGGCCTTGAGAGGTAAGGAAGTCCTCATCTTCCTCCCGCTGTTCAGCCTCCAGTGCCCTATCCATAATTCCCCACAGAGTATGCTCCAGCAGGAACACAAGAGGGATAGTGTCACTGATGCATCCATTGTCACGGCTCACCATCTTTGTCACCTCCTCAAATGGTGACAGTACAGTGCATGCATCCTTTATCAGCAGTCACTTACATGGGGGAAAAAGCCAAGGTCCCCTGAGCCTGTCCTTGTGCCATACTCACACGGGTACTCGTTGATGGACCTCTGCTGCTTATGCAGCCACTGCAGCATTGCCAAAGTGGAGTTCCACCAGGTGGGCATGTCACAAATCAGACGGATTGTAGGCAGGTGGAATTAATGTTGAATTTCAGCCAGACGAACACTGGCTGGGAATGAGCACCTGAAATGGCTGCAAACCGTTCTGGTCTGCCTCAGAAGATCTTGCAGCCCTGGGTACCTGTTTAAGAAGCGCTGTACCATCAAATTGAGGACATGTGCCAAGCATGGTACATGCATCAACTTTCCCAGGCATAGGGCGGAGAGAAGGTTGCTGCCATTGCCGTATACAACCAATCATGGCTCGAGCTGCCGTGGTGTTAACCACCTCTGGGCCTGCCCCTGCAGAGCTGACAGAATCTCTGCCCCGGTGTGGCTCCTGTCCCCCTAGACAAACCAGTTCAAGCACTGCATGGCATCTTTTTGCTTGACCCATTGCATAGACCCTTGAACGCTTACAGTGAACTGCTGGTTCACTAGACAATTCTGCAGAAGAGGCCATTGTGGAGGATGAAGAGAAGGGGGGGAGCAGACAGATCTCAGATTATCAGGTTTTTGGAGGTGTGGTGGCTGAACAAGCTCCAGCACGAAACCCCATCCTGGATCCCTCCCAGTTGCAAGCAGAGTTACGCAGTGTGCCATGAAGGAAATATAACGTCCCTGACCATGCTTACTAGACCACGTGTCAACGGTAATGTGGATCTTGCTGCTGACTGCCTTCTCCAATGAGGCTAAAACATTGCCTTCCACATGCTGGTACAGAGCCGGAATGGGCTTACGTGAAAAGAAATAGTGTTTTGGGAACCTGTCACTGTGGTACATCACATTCTGCAAACTCACGGAAGGGGGCAGAGTCCACCAGATGGAAAGGCAGCAGTTGTAAAGCTAGCAATTTGGCCAAGCTGGCATTTAGACGCTGAACATGTGGATGGGTGGGACAGTATTTTTTTTTCCGCTGCAGCAGCTGGATCAGCGAAATTTGACTGCTAAAATCTACAGCTGGTGGGCTATTGGCAGATTTGGTGGAAGGATCTGTGACACCCATTGCTATACCATCATCCCTCTCAGTGGAGGTTGTTGACATGGTATGGGGGGGTAGAGATTACAGATGAGGAGCGAGGAGATGTGTGGCCCTTTCTATGGTGCTGTTGCCAATGGGCTGCGTGGCAGGTGGTCAGATGTCTCTTCAAGCACGTGGTACACAAGTGTTTAATGTTTTTGCCACGCTTGATCCGCTTGAGACACAGGATGCAAATAGCAATGCTGCGGTCTTCTGCACATGTGCTGAAAAACACCCAAACAGCTGAGTTCCTGGAAGTGTGCTGGAAGACAACCGTGCCCTGCACCTGTGCAGCTCTGCCTTCTGATGCAATGGGGTGGCTGCTCTTACGGCTGCCCCTGGAGGACATACTGCCTTGTTGAGGTTGTGCCTCCTCCTCACTTTCCTCCTCTGTTCGATCAAGCAACCAAGTAGAGTCAGTGACCTCATCATCATCAGAGCCAACATCAGACCATTGTAATTGCTGTGCATCCTCCAGCAGCATGTCACTATAGAACTCTGATATATAACTCTGCTATAACCTCTCTTTTTTTAACTCCAGCAACATACTACATAGGGCTGCAGTGTAAGCAGCCTTATATAGTGTGCTCCTGGGACTTAGCAGTGAGCCATGATTGGGCAAAGTCATCATGACTTTGCCCAATCATGGCTCTTAAGCTGCCCATACACCTTACAACCATCGCGCGACTTTTGTTGTGAGATGGTTGTAAGGTGATTCAAATTCCGTACGAACTGCCCATCGTGGACAGGCAGATGGTACTTGAGATCATTGCAAGCCTTCCCCGCTGAGGGGAGGGCTTGCCGATGATTGCAATGCTGAGCGGGCAGTGTGCGC